ATACATTCACATAGGGAGGAAAAGGAAGACCACGTGGCCACCAATGTGAACTCATGCTTTGGCCACAGAATTAAACTGGGAAGGGGTAAATTACTTGAAAAAAACCCATATAAATAATAGTGTAAAGATTGTTGGTCTCAAAACTTAAGCAAAACAGGAGAAGTTACAACTGAACTATTGTGTTTATCCAGTGTTTGTGACCTCCAGCAACCTTTCCTAAAAGGCTTTGCAACCTTTAGACACTTAGGCCTCATGCACACTGGGCATTTTTACAGCTGCTGTTTTGGATGACAGATTTTTTTTTTTACTGCCTCTAAACTCCCCAGCATGTGTTCAGGCATACATAGGCTTTTAGCAGCGTCTTCTGGCAAAAGAGTTTAGTGGCAGAAATAAACCTTCTGCCAGTCCCTTCTGAAGCAGCAGCATTGTGGCAGAAAAAAGGCTGACCACTTCTAAACTCTACTAAATTCTCCTGAACCCTGCTAAATGCGAGTGCTCAGCGTTTATCAGACACATCAGTGTCCTTGGCAACCAGTGAATAGGGGGCAGGCTGGGAAGTCTCTTCCCCGCAGCACTGCCCAGTGGTTGTGGAGGTCTGCGGACGAGGGGCTTATTGGAATCTGGAAGCCCCCCAGATCCTGGCCCCCCATGTGAAGGTCTATGGGGTACATTGAACCCCTAGTTATTTAACATAAAAAAGTGTAGTGTAAATAAAAGACAGTAGGCAGTTTTTGACAAGTCCTTTATTTAAAAAACAAAAATTTTAAAACAGTCCCCCAGTGTAGATCCATCGTCAATTATGACACCCACCGCCGACCCAAAAAAAAGAAAAACCTCCAGTCCTGATGAAGGCTCTCACCATCTGGCAGTTCCACTGTCTGACAGCTCTTAAATAACTGGGGGGTGGGGCCAATGGATGACCACCAAGTGACCCCCACCATCTTGTTACATTGATGGGGTGGCATACTGGGTTGGAGACTTTGCTTAGTTTTTTTCTTTTTTCAGGTAGGCTGTGGCAGTGGGCATCGTGATTAATGATGGATCTACACTGGGAGACTTTTTTTAAAAAAAGGACTTGTCAAAAACTATGTACCCCATACTCATTCACATGGGGAGGGGCCGGGATCTGAATTACAGATTCCAAAAAGTCCCCCGCCCGCAGACCCCACAACCGCCTATCAGAGTTGTGGGGAAGAGGCCCTTGTCCCCTTCAATGTGTGAACAAGGTGCTTTAGGGGGGAGCCTCGCCTGCCCCAAACCCCCGCCATGTTGAGGACATGTGGCCTGGTTTGGTTCAGCAGTTTGGGGGTGCTCGGTTGCCCCTCCCTTTTTTAGCCTGCCAGGCTGCATGCTCGGATAAGGTCTGGCATGGATTTTGGGGGAGACCCGATGCCATTTTTCCCTTTTTTTTTGGTGAGGGGATTCCCTCAAAATCCATACGGGAACTAAGGATCTGGTACGGATTTGAGGGGGGATCGCACACTTTTTTTTTTTTTTTTATTCTGATGAGGTGTTCCCCTTAAAATCCATACTAAACTCAAAGGTCCTGGTATGGATTGGGAGAGGGGGACCCACACCATTTTTTTTCAGCTGCCAATGTTTTGTTTTTTTTTTTTTTTTACATTCTGCTATCATCAAGGAACCCCGCTGACAGCTGATGACTCATCCACTGTTAAGGACTTGGTGACCAGCTTCCCGGCCTGCTCCTTAACAACCAACTATTCACTGGTTGTTAAAGACGCCAACAGCCCCGCTCCTTAATGCTGAACCTACTAAACATAGCTTACACAGTAGGCTAAACACTGCTAAAACAACATTTTTTGTCCAGCGTTTCTAAAGCAGTTTTTGCATGAAGCCTTATAACCAAATTGAATAATTCTTTCAATGCTTTATAGCATTTTTCAAAAATGACATGACCTGGTAATTGGTAAAGTATCAGTATTGATAATGTTGGTGATAAGGATTTCAGCCAGTTCATGCTAGTAGCAAATTGCTATTAACTAATCTTTAATTTGTGTACTAACTTTGCTGCTGCAGATTGTTGCATACTTCAGTCTGCAGTTTTTATGTATTAGAGGTGTAAATTTCCAATTTAATCTTCTATAATAAATATTAATAAAGGTGTTTTAACACAAACAGGTTTACACAGATGACAGGAGCTTGGTACAGGTTCAGTAAAATGATATTCAATTAGCAGCTTTCCACAGTGTAGTGTAAAGTAATTTTAATACCACATGTAATTAGTCTATGCAAGGATTGACTGCTGTTACAGAGCACACAGTTTATTACATTGATTAGCTAGTAGAACAGGCATAGAAATAGGAAAGGGGATGTGATGCACTGGTTGTGAAAGCAGATTATGATGGCTGCATTTTCTATAAATGACAGGGTCCCAAAGTAAAATTATTACAGGCTTCCCGGAGCTGCAAGATCCATCTATAGTATGAAAGTTGTATTATTTTGAAGCAATAACTTACATTGCACTTTACTAAACTGACCCATGCTATTTTTTTTGTTACCCCATCTAACAGAGCTTGAGCATAGGGAATGTTGTAAGCTCTTTAGCCTGCATAAACAAATAAGCAGAGCATATTCCTGGTGGTTTTGAAACATTTTTCAGGAGTTTATTTCCTCGGCCAGGCACTGGGAGGAGAGCAGTTCCGTAGTATTAGATGTGTTCTCAGATGTAAAAACACATGCTAATAGTCTGTGGGGCCAAACACTTGAGTGTTTTTTAATTTTGTGATTTTGTTTTTTTCCACATCACTGTCCATAATTTCAAAGTTTCACACTGAATACATACATTGTATTAACGATAAACTATATAAACTACAATCACATATACAACAAACACAAATATAATTTTTCTTTTCCAATCGTTTTTTTTATTAAGGTTTTCACATTACAAGGATAATATAAAGCAAGGCAAATGAAAAATACAGTACAGTGCTATGCATTCTTATATGCAAAATTTCTATCGTGTTCCAGCCTTCAGAAGTGAAGGAGGGGACCCGTCCGTCGACCCGATGTCCCGACCTCCCTTACACGATGGTCTATAGGCAAGAAGAGTAGGGGAAAAAGAGAAATGAGGAAGAGAATAATAACAATGAAAGGAAAAGAAAGATGAGGGTAGAGTAGATGATAGGACACTGAGAGATAAAAGAAGACAGCGAGGTTTCCCTGTGTCCCTGAAAGATTATCCGTGGGCCCTGCTATGCAGGGTTTATGAGGTAAGTAATCCAAGGGTCCGAGATCCTTTCAAATCTGGACATTTTATCTTGCAGAGTGGCAGAGAAATGTTCGTTTAGCATTATGGAGGACAATTTAGTCAAGAGATTGAATGGGATCAAGGGAGATTTTCAGGATCTTGCAATCATGATCCTAGCCACAAATATCGTTTTTCACTATTCATTTTGTTCATTTTTCATTTTTGCATTACACTTTCACCATACACTTTCTCACTCTGTCAATGTAACACTTTTTACATGTATAGATTTTCATTTATTTATTTTTATTTCATGCCATATTTTTTTTCTTCATTTGTTTAACCACTAGGGGACCGCCCACAGTACATATACTGCGGCAAAGCGGCCCCTGTAGACAGGATCACGTATATAAACGTGATCCTTGTTTACATGCTAGGGGGCACGCGCAAGGCATGTGACTGCCCTGCCCGCGGCACCGGTCGCGGGTGTCAATCACTGGGTCCCAGCCGGTGATTACCCACCGGGTCCTGGCAATTGCCAGCAAACAGTGACACAAAGCACAGCTGCATTGTTTTCAAAGTAGCTCTGATCCGTCAGTTTCCAGCTCACTGTTCCGGAGAGCAGAGCTTAGCTTTCCGGGAAAGCGAGCAACAGTGAAGTACACACCCCCTGCCCACTAGTAAAACACTTCCCTAACACAGTTAACCCTTTGATTGCCTAAAAAAAGTTAACCCCTTCCTCCCCAGTACCATTATTAGTGTCAGTGTTTTTTTGCACTGATCACTGTATTTGTGTCACTGGGGATGTCGGTGACCCCAGGTCAGTTCCCCCCAGTGTCAGAATGTCCACCGCAGTCCCGCCATAAGTCACTGATCGCTGCCGTAAGTCACTGATTGCCATCATAAGTCGTTGATTGCCGCTATTATTAGTATACAGAAAAAAAAATAATAATCCAGTATCTATACCGCCATTTGTAAAAGGTATAACTTTCACGTAAACCAATTAATTTATACGTATTGGGATTTTTTTTAGCAAAGACATGTCACAGAATGCGTTTTGCCTGAAATTTATGATGAAATTTGATTTTTAAATTTTTTTACTGGACATGCTTAATAGCAAAAAGTCCAAAATATTGTTTTTTTTTCTCAAAATTGTCGGGTATTTTTTTCTATAAAAATAAAAACCGCACAGGCGATCAAATACCACCAAAAGAAAGTCCAATTCATGAGGAAAAAAGGATGTAAATTTCATGTTTGTGCAGCGTTGCATGACTGCGCAATTGTCAGTTAAATTGATGCAGTGCCGTAACACAAACCGCTTATGTAACGGCTTCCTGACCGCCCTATAGCAGAAATACTGCTACATATATATATATATATATATATATATATATATATATATACATTTAACCCCCTTGATTGCCAGGAATATGTTCATACACAATAAACCTCCATTGCTATTAGTGTCTGAACTGATCAATATCTTTGATCAGGTCAGCACTATACCAGCATTCACATTAGTATAGCATCCCCTAAAATGCAGCGTTAGCGGGATCAGCCCCGACACCTGCCAGCACCTGCGTTTAGCCCCTACACTTACCCCCCTTCTCCCCCAACAAGTGCAGTGTCAGTAGATCACTGTCACTTGATACATTGCACACAAAACCGCAGTGTTCACAGAATCAGGCCTGATCTCTGTTAGCACTTGCCGGTAAATATTGATGACTCTCATATGCAGCAGAGTGCCAGTACTAGTGCCATGCTACCTTTTGGTGAAGTGTCGAGTACTAGTGGCCTAGTACTTCCTGTTCTTTCACATACCTCTTAGATTGTAAGCATTGTTGCTTTATTGTCTCCCGTTATATTGTACAGCACTGAGCAAACTGTTGGCACTATATAAATCCTGTATAATAATAATAATACCAGCACTGCAGTATCACTTGGTGCCGTGGCGAGTCCCATAAGTGCAGTACAAGCTGGTGCGGTGGCAAGCACAAGTATTGTCCCGCAACCACCAAGAATTCACACACAGGCCCATAGAGCCCCTAGTATCCTTCCGGATGTGCTTGCAAGTCCCATTTGGCAGCCCACAAATTCTGCAGTACCCGTACTTCCCCCATTCACTTCCCAACCCGGAATTCATGTTGAAATAGCAAATTTAACTACTCCCCTTGATTTTTTGGTGGTGTTTATCACGGAAGATCTGTGTGCATTGATTGTGGATCAAAGCAATTTATATGCACAACAATTTATCGGCACCAACCCAGATTCAAACCTTGCCAGACCATTCACATGGAAACTCATTACGTTTTCTGAATTTACATTCTTTTTGGACCTAACCCTCAACATGGGCATTACTAAAAAAAATTAATTGTGGTGGTATTGGTCCACAGACCCGATTCATCATATGCCATGTTCTCCACTGCCATGGCCAGGCATAGATGTGAGAGTATAATGTGTTTTATGCATTTCAGCAACAATACACTCTGTCATCCTTGGGGTAACCCTGAATTTGACCAGCTATGCAAAATTCACCCCCTCGCAGATCACCGTAACCAAAAATTTGCAGATGTCTATACTCCCCAGCAAAACATCTGCGTTGATGAGTCCCTCATTAATTTTTCTGGCCACCTTGCATTCAAACAATTTTTCCCCAGCAAGTGTGCCAGATATAGGGTCAAGATGTAGAAGACCTGTGAGAGGACAACAGGCTATACTTATAAGTTTTGGATTTACGAGGGAAAAGATAGTCACGTGGAGCCCCCCGGATGCCCAGACTACATGGGGACTAGTGGCAAGATAGTTTGAGACTTGGTGTCATCCTTTTTCCATATGGGGTACCACTTATACGTGGACAATTTTTATTCAAGTGTGCCACTATTTAGACATTTGCACAATCTTGGAACTGGTGCATGTGGCAAACACCGTGTGCCCACCATTAGAGGTGTGTGGATGCAGGGCAGTATATTCTAATGGTAATGGTGGGCATACCACACACTTTTTCTGGCAGAGATTTCTTCTCTTTTTTTCATTTAGTCCACAGGCTGCATACAAAAAAAGAAAAAGAACATAGCATATACAGTAAAGAAGAACTATGCAGTGCAGCGCTTAATCAATAATATATAAAAATATCCAATGAATAGGTGTGTCAGGAATCTAGAAATGACCAGAAAGGTGTGGACTGACACAGGGAAACGCAGGTCTCAGGTACAGTATAATACAGTTTATTATTAGCCACCCAGATATATATATATACAGTGAGCAAACCAACCTTCCACTAATCTTAGGAGGTGCAGGAATACAGGCGTAGTCAGGGCTGGAGAGGTGGAACGGTCAGGCCGGCCGTAGGGTTCTGTAATGACCGTTTGGTGGACCTCTAGTGGTCCCCAGGACAGGATTCCCCAGGGCGCGGAGTCTAAGTCCCAGTCTGCTTATTCACCAGGGCCCCTGATGGTGGGGATGGACTTGGAGCAGACAGGAACCAGGTCGCGGCCCCTGAGTACACCTGCTAGTGGTAGAGGGATCCGCCAGAGGTATGTGCAGGTAGAAAGCCTGATGTGAAGAGGCAGAAGGTGTGAGCAGGGACGGCTGGATCCGTGCAGGATGGATGGATGGCAGAGTAGTAGCGTGGTCAGACGGGCCAGGTCAGCAATGTGCAGGCAGCAAGGTACCAAAGGAGCAGGCAGAGAATGGTCAGGGTCACAAGCCAGGTTCAGTAACTCACGGGCAGCGTGGTACAGGGGATCAGGCAGAAGGATGGTCAGGCAAGCCAGGGGTTCAACAGGAGACGGTCAGCAGAGGTCAGGATCAAGCAGGGTCAGCAACGAAGCAGGAACACAAGATACCAGGTACAGGGGCTCCTGGGAAAACATACACCAAGGCCCAGATCACAGGCCTGGTCATGCCCTAAATACACCTTCTGCAATCAGCCCCAGGTTTGGCTGATTGCAGAAGTGAGTTTCTGGCTGCTGAGAGCACCCGCTGGTCAGCTCTGGTACTGCAGCCCACACGGCAGGTGAGTCCCACCACCAGTGCTGAGTCCATTCCTGACAAGGTGATACAATAAATAAACTCGATATACACCCTGAGAGTATATATCCAAAATCATCAATAATAATAACTTAATGTCATGCATGTAATCCCTTAAAGGGAATATCTGGTGCAAACGTGACAAATATAATCATAAAACAATAAAGTGGCAAAAACATACAGTACTCAAAATAAGTGAACCAATATGCAGTTGCAGAAAAAAAAGTCCAATTAATCAATACAGGTAATAATGCTTTATGGTGATCTTCACACTCCACTCTTCATGCAAAGAATAATGTGCAGTGTATGTGATTCACACATGTCAATCCTTAACGGCCAAAATGCCCCCTCACCTCCTTACTTAGACCCCACAGGGCCAGCCAGCTTTAGGATCAAACAATCCTATCAGAATGGATTCCTCTCTGGATTTCGCCTTCCACCTCCAGCATCCACCAGACTAACAGCCAGCTCCTCCCAGGGTCATAATGAAACACAAACAGAGACCCTCCATAGTGCAACCAGTTTTTATTAAACGATAAATAGATAGAGTATACAGTTCCACTCACATTTGTGATGATTTTCTCCAGCTTCCTTACCACATGCTATGGGTGTACTGCATGGGTAATATAACAGGGTGTTCCAAAATGGCCCGCACGCCGGAAATGACGTCACCACGTTAGCTCCTCCCACCGTACCGACGTGTTGCGTCACGTTCAGCACGTGACTTCACCTCGGTTTACGAATGCCTCTATTACCGTAATTTTTGGTTTAAAATGAAAATCCATTGAAAATGCCTTGGTTTACGATTTTTTTACTAATTTTTTTCACAATACAAAGTGTATGTCAGTCCTGATTTTTAAATGCAATTGCCATCTTTTTTTTTTTCTTCACTATAGTTCACATTAGCTGTCAGTTTCCCTGGAAGCTAAAGGATACTTTTAAGAAACTGAAAGGAAACATTATTCACTAGGGTGTTTGCTTTAAAAATATATAAAATTTAAATTAATTTCCTAGCAAAAAAATTGGTCTTCAGGTGGTAAGAAGAGTGAATGATGTGTGGCATAAACTTCTAATGCTGGGCATAAAACACCCCCACCACCCCAAAATGACCCCGTTTTGGAAAGTAGACACCCAAAACTATTTGCTGAGAGGCATGTTGAATCCGTAGAAGAATTTATTTTGTTACCACAAGTTTTTGGAAAATGACAAAATTTCTTTTTTTTTTACACAAAATTGTCACTTAAATGATTTATTGCTCACACATGCCATGGGTATATGTGGAATTACTCCCCAAAATACATTCTGCTACTTCTCCCGAGTATGGGGGTACCACGTGCGAGAGATATTTTGGCAGTCTACCAAAGTACAGGACCCCAAAATCCAATAAGCACCATCAGGCTTTTAAAGGGCTTTATTATATTATTATTATTATACAGTATTTATATAGCGCCAAAGGGTTTGCTCAGCGCTTTATTTCCTCATTACACTTCCTGACTATCTATCACAGTTTCGGAGACCCTGAAATGCCAGAATAGCACCAACCCCCCAAATGACCACTGTTTGGAAAGTAGACACCCCAAGGAATTTGATAAGAAGCATGGTAAGTATTTTGCAGATCTCATTTGTTGCCACAAGTTTTTGAAAATTGAAGAAAAAAAACAAAAACATATTTTTTCTTTTTATATTACAAAACCTTGTGAGAAAAAATTAGATCTGCAAAATACTCACCATGCCTCTTTTTAAATTCCTTGGGGTGTCTACTTTCCAAAAAGGGGTCATTTGGGGGGGTTTGGTTGCTATCCTGGCATTTCAGGGTCCTTCGAAACTGTGATAGGAAGTGAGGAAGTTACGGACCTTCAGGCTTGCAAAGTGGTCATTGGATTTCAGGCTCCTGTATGTGGCTAGGCTCCCAAAAAGTCTCACACGTGGTACCGCCAAACTCGGTAGAAGTAGCAGAATGTATTTTGGGGTGTAATTCCACATATACCCATGGCATATGCGAGAAATATATTATTTAAATGACAACTTTGTGTAAAAAAAAAAAAAGTTTTTGTCATTTACCAGAAACTTGTGGGAAAAAAAAGTAAATCTTCTATGGACTCAATATGCCTCTCAGCAGATAGCTTAGAGTGTCTACTTTCTGAAAAGGGGTCATTTGGGGGTATTTGTACTATCCTGGTATTTTAGCACCTCAAGAAATGTGATGGGCAGTCAGTAAAAGCTGTGTAAATCCCATTATCTATACCATATTTTGTAGACGCTATAACGTTCACACAAAGCAATCAATATACACTTATTGGCATTTTTTTAACCAAAACATGTAGCAGAATACATTTTGGCCTAAATTTATGATGAAATTTTAGTTTTTTTAGATATTTTTTTATCACAGAAATGAGAAAATGTTGTTTTTTTTTTTTAATGTTTTTCTCAAAACTTTTTTGTTTATAGCGCCAAAAATAAAAGCGCACAGGTGATCAAATACCACCAAAAGAAAGCTCTATTTGTGTGAAAAAAGGACATAAATTTATTTATGTACCGTATTGCATGACCACGCAATTGCCAGTTAAACTAATGCAGCGCTGTATAGCAAAAAAAGACGTAATTGACAGTATCTGTACTATAGTTTGTAGACACTATAATGTTCACACAAAGCAATCAATATACACTTTTTGGGATTTTTTTTTTACCAAAAACATGGAGCAGAATACATTTTGGCCTACATTTATAACTAACTTTGAGTTTACTATATATTTTTTATAGCCGAAAGTAAAAAATATTGTTTTTCTTAAAAAATTTCAGTCTTTTTTTGTTTATAGCGCAAAAAAGAGAGCGCACAAGTGATCAAATACCACCAAAAGAAAGTTCTATTTGTGTGAAAAAAAGGACGTAAATTTTGTTTGGGTGCAGCATTGCATGACCGCGCAATTATCAGTTGAATTAGTGCAGTGCCGAGTAGAGGCCTGGTCATTAAGGGGGTAAATCCTCAGGAGGGCAAGTGGTTAATCTTTTTTTCCATTTAATTTTCATTTTATTTTTCATTTTTATTTTGTTGCAGCAATATTATACAACATGTGTTATAAAAAAAAAAAACCTCTGGATTGTAAACTGTCACCAGCAGAGCCCTCCAAATCCTTGTATTGTAACTGTACTGTCCCCCCTTATTTTGTAAAGCACTGTACAAACCGTTGGCACTATATAAATTATATAAAATAATATATTCTGTAGGAAAGGCTGCTATTTATTATTTATAAACTTACTGGACACTTTATTAGGTAGACCTTGCTAGTGCCAAGAAAATATCCCCACCACCAGCCTGAACCGTTGGTACAAGGCAGGATGGAT